TTGCACAATGCACAGGACTGAGAGAACATGGTCAACCTCATCTGAGCTCAGTGACACCTTTCACACCACCGACCACACTATTTGCGTGCCTTCCACCACAACAATATCTGCTCTGTATGTTAACAAATTTACAGATAGGTAGTACACGACTGAGAGAACATGGCCAACCTCACCTTTCACACCACCGACCACACTACTTGCGTGCCTTCCAGCACAACAATATCTGCTCTGTTGTATGTTAACAAAATTACAGATAGGTGGTACACGACTGAGAGAACATGGCCAACCTCATCTGAGCTCAGTGACACCTTTCACACCACCGACCACAATACTTGCGTGCCTTCCAGCACAACAATATCTGCTCTGTATGTTAACAAATTTACAGATAGGTAGTACACGACTGAGAGAACATGGCCAACCTCATCTGAGCTCAGTGACACCTTTCACACCCCCGAACACACTACTTGCGTGCCTTCCAGCACAACAATATCTGCTCTGTTGTATGTTAACAAATTTACAGATAGGTGGTACACGACTGAGAGAACATGGCCAACCTCATCTGAGCTCAGTGACACCTTTCACACCACCGACCACACTACTTGCGTGCCTTCCAGCACAACAATATCTGCTCTGTATGTTAACAAATTTACAGATAGGTAGTACACGACTGAGAGAACATGGCCAACCTCACCTTTCACACCACCGACCACACTACTTGCGTGCCTTCCAGCACAACAATATCTGCTCTGTATGTTAACAAATTTACAGATAGGTAGTACACGACTGAGAGAACATGGCCAACCTCACCTTTCACACCACCGACCACGCTACTTGCGTGCCTTCCAGCACAACAATATCTGCTCTGTATGTTAACAAATTTACATATAGGTAGTACACGACTGAGACAATATATGCTCTCTGTATTAAGCCATCCCTAGTCAATGCTTAGCAGATTTTATACAACGAGGAATGGGGAAATAAACCAAACTCGGATCTTAAGCGTTCACACATGGCGATGGTGCTGAGACAAAACAAATCCATGTGTTTGATATTATGGTATATACTCGGGGAAATTGATGCCTCTCGTATCGAGTTGGGGTTCAGCCATAAAAAGGCTGTGCAAAAATTGGGCTAGATTAACAACAACAGTTGCCACCACAGTAGACTTTGGCAGCAAAGCCGGTTCTCGTTTGGCGCTGCCACTCAACTCGGGCGTCGCGTCGGTGATGTTGGAAATGGATTGCAAAACTGAAACATCGCTACTACTCGGGGTCGTGTGTAAAATTTGGGAAATCTAACAAATATCGTTAGTCTACCATTTTATGTGTGAAATGAAATCCGAGTTTTTAAAATAGCAGTATACAGTACAACGTTTAAAATAGATTGACTTTTTTGGCTCTCTTTGTTTCCACTGTATTGCCCATGGAGTGGCCAAAATCGCAATGAGATCACACTCCAGACTGCTCGCATTTACTACTTCCTTCACCACTTCCTACGTCGCGGACCTGTTTCCCTCCATTCCCATAGCTTTTTAGGATTGTAGATTCCTTAATCTAATCGTCATAAACAGTTTTCACACTCCAGACTGCTCGCCTTTATTACTTTCTTCATCACTTCCCACTTCGCGGACCTGTTTCCCTCCATTCCCATAGCATTTTAGGATTGTAGATACCTTAATCTAATCGTCATAAACAGTTCCCACACTCCGGACTGCTCGCCTTTACTACTTCCTTCATCACTTCCTACATCGGGGACCTGTTTCCTTCCCTTCCCATAGCATTTAAGGATTGCAGATACCGTAATCTAATCGTCATCAACAGATCCCACACTCCACACTGCTACCCTTGACTATAGAATCGAGTAATCTTCACTATAATCTTTGCTCAATAGTATCAACTGATGTTTTCCTTTTGTACTGTATTTTGTTTTGCTAGTATACTGTGGATAGACAAATTACAAGTCTTTTGTTTACTTTTTCCTTGTTATTTAATTCAGCCAACATGGTTACCTAGCAACCCATAAGACTAATGTTAAAAAAATGTGACTTTCAGTTTCATTTTTCTACGTAATTAGATTTTTGTTGGCAGTTCCGACTGCAGTAAACTCGTTTTTAGGTCAAAAATAAACTATTTACAACATTTGAAGAAAATCGTCGGAGCCGTTTTCGAGATCTTGGTGCAAGCATACATACATACAAGCAAACATTGCTCGTATTAGAGTATAGGATAGGATATGCTGTGATATGCAACACCTCGCTACTGTACTTGGCATTGACAGTGACATCGCTGATGCCTTAGTCGATAACTAGACTATTGAATACATTGTATTGTCTATACAATGTAGTGAGATGCAACACCTCCCTGCTTCCTGCTTGGCATTGACAGTGACATCACTGATGCCTTAGTCGATAAATATACTATTGAATACATTGTATTGTCTATACAATGTAGTGAGATGCAACACCTCCCTGCTTCCTGCTTGGCATTGACAGTGACATCACTGATGCCTTAGTCGATAAATATACTATTGAATACATTGTATTGTCTATACAATGTAGTGAGATGCAACACCTCCCTGCTTCCTGCTTGGCATTGACAGTGACATCACTGATGCCTTAGTCGATAAATATACTATTGAATACATTGTATTGTCTATTCAATGTAGTGAGATGCAACACCTCACTATTTACATTGACGTCTCTGATGTCAGTCGATTACTAGACTATTGAATACAGTGTACCTCATTAACAGCACACCCTAACTAATTGTATACGACATGTGTAACGCGCTAATGTGCACCTGGCATGATGCTATGTACGGTAGCCCATGTATCGCAACCATCAATGTCATAATTTTTTCAAGCGATTACGCACATCTTATTTGAACGTCTATTTTCGAAGAATATGATGAACACGGACGCGTATTACGCATATGGTTCAACGGTGTAATAAATTACAATTTAAAAGCTCAAACGAAGGTAATGTGAAGGCAGTTTGGTGAAGGAAGGTCGTGGAGGAATTTGAACTTCCACTAACCACTTACTTCACAAAGTCGACCTCGGAGGTGGAATTGATAGCGACTACATAGTTTAGTGAGTGTTATCACCTCAGTCGCCTCACGATTTTGCTGTGACAAGGCTTACCTACTAAATCATTACAATTATCCAAAAACCTCAGAAGACTTCACTTCCTAGTTGAGTCAATCTCTACAACGACTTTGGTATATCAATTTGGCGTTAATGCACCTAGGCGTCACAGTAAAATACGATAAAAATAAAATTTACGAGGATTCCAAAACTCTGAGAGATATTGTAATGAATTTACGTAAGCAACCACGTAGAGGTAAATAAAATACAGTATATACTTTTATTTAATATTAGGTCATAAAGAAATGCTATTTTGCGTACGAAAAGTTCGTGTAGTATATTGATCCATGTGTACAGTGTAATCAAATGTAAATTTGAATTATGATGAAATGTAATTATATTTTAACAGCTAGGCTATAACGTATACGATGTTGTAAATTAATTATCCCAAGAACAGTATGATCTGCAATCAACTGTCGCAATCCATTAGTGACGTAATTTTAATTACGAGATTTCCAGTTATGATCAGCAAAACAGAAACAATTAATAACCAAGTTGACCCCAACAGCTGTTTACGCACAGTTGATCAGCTGACTGACCCCCCTTCCACTGCCTCTCCTCACTAACCTCCTCTTTGCTCTCTTGCCTCATCGGCTGTTGATTGAATTTACCGACGACGACGCCGCGTTCTATTCAAACAATGTGTAATAACGGTTACAACAGTTAATACAAAATCACACAGAGGTCGTTTTACGATGAACTGGCGCCATCACCTAGACCGATATCAGCATTCAATATGCGATTTTGTGGAAAGCAAAATTAATAATGAAATTTGGTTACAGGCTGCGTAGTAGCAATAATTAACTGGATATTGATAACTTGGTTTGTGACTCACGAATTGTAAACTCTATTATTTTCGGAGAGAAGGGTTTTACTTTAGCCTAATGTATCCTTGATAGTTAATTAATACATCAAAACACACGTATTTATTATGTTTTGGTCCTCAAGGTTGCGCGAGTATGGTCAATTGGAAAAAATAAACTGTGATTATACACTTTATTTTTACACTACACCACCTATCTATTCGATTGGAAATTAATTAAAACAGCATGGTTCACATGGAAATTGAAATATTACAACCGGATGGTTCTTGAAGTTTTGTTGGAAAATTAAGGGTAGCCTAGTCCAAAAATACAGAACTATCAAAAATCATCATTGTAGGAGTGAGACTTCGGGTAGCAAAATTTCACAAAATCTTCCATACGTAACCAAGTCAAATCGAATCCAAAAACTATGTGCAAACTAGGTACACCATACTCAAAATAGAAAATCAATACTGTAGCTGTAAACAAAAGTAAAATGGTATTCGTCAAGAAGTCCGTGTGAGAGGAATCAGATATCACAACGACTCTACACTACAAATAAATAAGATCTTCTCCACTAAATTTCGTCAGATGCCATTATAACCTGAGGCTGCGTAGTAGCGAAAAACCGCAGAGGATCGTTTTGATTTCTGATTTCATTTTACACTGGCATTCATTGAACTCTAATTTTTTTAGTTCGATCATTAATAATGACTGATTTTAACATTTAACAACCTAAGTTTGAAGTTGTTTACATTCGTTTAACGATGTATATTATATTATTTATCAGGTTAATTATTTAGTTCCAGCTCGTCAGAGATACAAAATATTAAAATAAAATAATTAGCTCAGTACATTGCAGTACACCCAAGCATAAATTAATTAAATGTAGAAATTTAAATTAATAAAACTTGTAGAAAAGTCTGTCCCATCACATCCTTATAGATTAACTAACAACTTTTATTCCAACAGAGTATTTTTGTGAAATGTCTACCATTACAATTGTGTTATCAAACGAATATGAGCATTCCAATATCCACAAAACTGACTTACCGAAATATCTTGGCTGGCTTTCTAAGGAAAACATCCAGTTTACTACTCGTCGGGCAACTAATTGTGTGACTTGGCGAGAATTAACTTCAAACAAATGACATAAAATTCACACACAAACATCAATTTCTGACCTTATCAAGACGAAAACTCTGATAACTTTAAGCAGAGCGAAGAGTGAAAAGTATTGACGAACGGCCCCGATAAAAAAATCCCAACACTTTTTCACTGAAGCGCCAACAAATTTAGCATTAAAGACAGAATTACAGTAATGTTTTATACAGTTGAAGACACACACACACCATTTAAAACTCGCAGCTTTTAACGTCCTTTCCCGCTTGTATCCAATGACCAACTCAACTCAACTAAAACTTGACGACAGGGTTGCCAAACTGACTGTGGTGGGATGGTGGGAAACAAACCAGTGTTGCAACCTGTCACCTGTGTTACCACTACTGTCACTTCATATCACATATCAGTCAAGTCAAAAGTGTATTGGACAAATCAATTAATTATCAATATCAACGATCTGAAACAGTAACATATAGTGATTTAGTAGTTTACGAGACGAGTAGAAAATTTAAGGTAGCCTACACGAGCAAAGGCGACGAATGTCTTGAAGGCTAATTACGCGAGTTGCGTACACTACTTTACCTACAACAGCTTTTTTATTACTAACAATCACTCCTCATAACGTCTAAAAGAGGTTATGTTTTTGTTTATAACCTCTTGTTAGTCGTTGCCACTGATTGTGAGATTGTGATGCAACGACTCTCGTTGTTCCAACCACTCACTGTACCTAATCAATTAAATTTGGCCTTAACAGCTGATAAGTTGATGATAAACACTTTACAAATCTACTTCTTTCTCTCGCTCCTTGAACCTCATTGGTCCAAACATGTACTGTAAAGTAACTAAACAATGCTGTAAACGTAAAGTAAGTACGGTAAACAATACCGACAATACACTGTTGAATTGAAATAGTTATTTTCCTACAGTCACCCGACAAAGTTGGCTTCCTTGTACTGTTTATAGTACAGAAAGTTGCTAATTGCTGCATATTTATACTTTGTCGTACGGTTTATACTTTGCCGCACATCAGGATTCCAACGAAACAACACAAAACAGCGTGGTTCTATTAGGCGCGTAATCCGTGTACGCTTGGAAATAGGTTGGCAGCACTTAAAGATAATTATACTATGAGCAGCTGATTGACTATTATAACTACGATTTAACCTGTCATTTCGTGTTTATAGTTTCGGTATTTCTGAACTTTCTGGACTTTTCTTTTAAACGTTTTTACAACATTCCTACGATCTTAATAAACAAGAAAATACCCTTAAAGCATTTTTTAGGCGTGGAAACCACTTCAAATTACAAAAACATACGGAACTTTATTCTCAAAACGCGGAGCACATTTCTTGCCGAGGAAAAATAGCGGAGTGATACGGACCGCGGGTACTACTTTCTCTAGGGCACCATTTGTGTTGCCAGCTGAACCTAAAAACGTGTTGTATAGTGTTTGAAAGACTAATTATTTATAGCTTTATAGTGACTGTAGGAAAAATATAATGTGTAACACGAGTGAAAAAGGCCTTTGCTGCACTCGAGATCATTCCGCACAACATTGCTCTCGTGTGCAGCAAAGTGCCACTTTCACCACTAGTTACACAAATAACTATTTCGTAACTATAGTGGGCTATAGTGGGCAAAGTGGCACTTTGCTGCACAAGAGGCGGCTTGTGCGGAATGATCTCGAGTGCAGCAAAGGCCTTTTGCACTCGTGTTACACATTATATTTTTCCTACAGTCACTATAAAGCATATAAATAATTAGTCTTTCAAACACTATACAACACGTTTTTAGGTTCAGCTGGCAACACAAATAGATGCCCTAGAGAAAGTAGTACCCGGCCCGTATCACTCCGCTTTTTTACTCGTCAAGAAATGTGCTCCGCGACTTGAGAATATAGTTCCGTATGTTTTTGTAATTTGACGCGGTTTCCGCGCCTAAAAAAATGCTTTAAAGGTATTTTCTTGTTTATTAAGATCGTAGGAATGTTTTAAAAACTTTTAAAAGAAAAGTACAGAACATTCAGAAATACTGAAACTATAAACACGAAATGACAGGTTAAATCGTAGTCTATATATAAAATCCAATGTATGTTTGTATGTATGTTTCTTTGTTTGTCCTTTATGGACTCCGAAACCGCTTGACAGATTGTAATGAAACTTTCAGGCATTTAAGCATTATTCAAGGATGGTTTGTGTGAAGTTTGGTGCAGATCCGTCAAAAGGGCTCCGCCCCAGTGGCTCTGGAGTTTCCCATGTTAACCTTATGAGTACTCATATTTAAATGGAATTAAAGAATCTTAACAGCTGGTTCAACTAAGCAATTTGATTCTGTGATGTTCAATGGTATTAAAAAGTTAATAAGTTTACCAACAGGGTGCAGCACGATTATTTTTTTTATTTTTGACAACATCTAATTATGTAACCAAAAGGTGAGTGAGCGTTGCGAACGAACTTCAACCTGGAGGAGAGTTAGCGTAGCGAACGAGCTAACCTGAAGGCAAGTGAGCGCAGCGAACGAGCTCGAACCTAAAGGTGAGTGAGCATAGCGAACGAACTTCAACCAGGATCGTGAAAATGAACAAGCATTTGACATAAAACCACGTTTTAGGACAGGACGACGTCTGTCGGGCCAGCTAGTTATATTATAATAGTCAATCAGCTCAGCTGCTCATAGTAACTTTGTCGAGTGACTGTAGGAAAAGGCTAGTTTAAAATACCCTCGCTGCCACCGCAGCAATAGCAAACCTGCAGACTGAGCGAATTTCCATTTACCTGGCTGAATTTAGGTATGTGAAGCTAGCAGCGCCCATATTTAAAATAAACTTCAAAATAACCTAAATCGTTTGTTTATCGTTTGTTTAGCTATTTTTGACGTTTGTTTGGCCTTAGTTGCTTTTAAAAACGAAAAATAAAGTGGGCGCTACTAGCTTCACACCAGCAGCGCCCATTAGTCGTTTTGAGCTAAAAACCATTGAAATCGATTGTTTATCATTTGTTTAGGTTTGTTTAGCTATTTTCGTCGTTTGTTTGGCCTTAGTTGCTTTAGAATTGGGAAAAAAGTGGTCGCTGCTGGTGTGAAGCTAGCAGCGCCCATTGGTCATTTTGAGTTAAAAACCATTGAAATCGATTGTTTATCGTTTGTTTAGGTTTGTTTAGCTATTTTCGTCGTTTGTTTGGCCTTAGTTGCTTTAGAATTAGGAAAAAAGTGGTCGCTGCTAGTGTGAAGCTAGCAGCGCTTATTCGTCGTTTTGAGCTAAAAACCATTGAAATCGATTGTTTATCGTTTGTTAAGCTATTTTCGTCGTTTGTTTGGCCTTAGTTGCTTTAGAATTGGGAAAAAGTGGTCGCTGCTGGTGTTGTTATAGCAATTTCAATAAGCCTGCTTATAATGTCATATAAATCATGAAACATATGACATTATTTATAATGTGTAATTGTTTAGTTCAGTTTGTATTGGTGTTGTGTTCTGTTCTGTCTATTAAAAGTTTAATTTAATTTCCAAATAAGTCTTAAAGTTTCCTACTAATAACAGGTTATGGGATACTAAATTTAGGATAAGGTTGACTTGGAATGGCAATGGGAACTCCAATTTTGGTATTGAAACCTTTTGATGGACACAATTTTGGTAATTGGCTGTTCAGATTAGAGTAGGTATTGGAACAGTGGTAAAGTCCTAGATGTCTTGACTCAAGAAATTCCTGAAGAAGAAGGACCAAGGTCTGCCTTCATGGAAAAAGATGTCAAAGCAAGAGGTCTGATAGTACAGCATATCACGGATGATATCATGTCGACCATCAAGGGCCAGAGAACAGCAAAAGGGATGATGAATCTCCTCAAGAGGACGTATGGAACAACTGGCATTGGAGAGCAAGTAAGAATAAAACAGGAACTGGCCAACTTAAAGCTCAATGGTGAGAGCTCATTACTGTCTTATTTCACAAAATTTGAATCTTTGGTAAATGACCTTAAGTCTGCTGGTGAAACAATGGACAATCAGGAAATAATAACGACACTTTTGTCTTCTATGCCCTCAAATTATCAAACAGTAACTCGTACTGTAGATATTTTATTTCACCAAAATCCTGATGCAAGTACTTTAGATTTTCTGAAAAATCAGTTGTTATCTGAAGAAGTACACATGAAAGGTGAGTTTGGTTCAGTGGTACACGATAGTGCTGTTTTTGTTGGACAAAAGAAACAAAAGTTCTTTAAGAAATCTAAATTTTTGGTTAAAGAAAGTGAAGAGCGAAACAAACCGTTTAAATTTAGATGTTATGAGTGCAACGAAAAAGGACACCGTAAAGCAGACTGTCCTAAGTTAAGAGGTAAACAGTTTAAATCTCATATAGCAGATAATATGACGCATGTTTTGTGACTGAAGATGACGTAGCTCTCATAGTAGTATCCATAGTAGGACTCTAGTGAATTTTGTAGTAGATTCTGGTTCTACACATCATCTGGTTGATTCTATCACTGGAGCATTTCTTTAAAATGTAAAAGATGTTGATTTTAATATTCAAGTGGCCAAGCATGGTCAACAACTAAAGGCTATTAGATGTGGTGATTTAAGGTTACTACTACCAAGCGGGAAAAGTGTCACAATCGAAAATGTCATTGAATGTCCGAACCTTACAAGAAATTTATTATCTGTGCGTAGAATTGAGCAAAAGGGACATTCTGTAATATTTTCAGAAAATAAGGGTTCCATTGAAAAACCTCTTGGGAATGTACTTCTGAAAGGTCAGATATATGGTAACTTATACATGGTTAAACTAGGTTTACCCTTCAACTCTGAAGCTAATGTTGTTAAAGGTAGTGACAATCAACTTTTATTAGGCTACATAGACGGTTGGGGCATTCATCAACATTTCCATGTAAACAACCTTGTGATACTTGTTTAAAGGGTAAGCAAACAAGAAACAGTTTTTCTTCTTTACCAATTGAAAGGAAACCAAAGAGAATTCTTGAGGTCGTTTCTAATGATGTTTGTGGTCCGTTTGAAACTAAGACATATGATGATATGAAGTACTTTGTCTCTTTTCTAGACCATTATTCACATTTTACTTATGTTTATTTAATGAGAACCAAGAATTAAGTATTAGAACATTTTAAATCATTTGAAGCCTCTGTTTCTGCACGTTTTGGAAGTAAAATTGACCGCCTTCGGTGTGATAACAATGGGCAATATGCATCTAAAGAATTTCAAAAATTTTGTCGTGAAAAGGGTATAACCTTAGAGTATACTGTACCACGGAATCCCCAACAGAGTGGA